TAGCAGCTTAGTACATCACAATATGGAAATCTAGGTCTCAAGAGCATCTGTTGCACCAGTTGAAAACTAACTCATTAGACTTTTTATATTACTGTTTTTTTTTTTTTACCTTATCTGACCAGAGCACCTTCAACATGTTAAATGTTAACTTTTTATGGCTTATGACCAAATTCAAAGAGTGCAATCTTTTTCTCACTGAATAGCCAGGCACATAAGATATTCATGAAATACATTGAAGTTTCAGGACATTGTGCAAAAAAATTATGATACATTTTAAAATATTATTTTAAACCAGAATGTTACAGCAAGTGGTGTTGATCTTAAACAGTGAAGAGATGTAGTACCTTTAAGGTTTGAGTAAACTTTTCCACTTGGTCATTTACCGCTTTGATCTCACAATGTGCTGGTCTGTACTCGTAAATTTCCTACTTTCATCTGGGAAATTATAAGTGTTCACCCAAAATATACCCCAGACGTTCCAAAAGAGGCACACCAGACGATCATGCTGAGCCAGACATCAACACAGGGGTCAGAGAGAAGCAAACACTGACTTTTCTGCTAGTGTTTTACAAAACCATTCTTACTTGCATGCATATATTTTGAATGCTAAGATAATATAGAATAAATTTCAAGACGGAAAGATATTGAATGCTAAAATGACGAAAACAAAGCAGTTTTGCTGTACCAGGTCCAGTCTCCCTTGTTATTGTTGAAGCTTCTTTGCCATTTTGACAAAGGTTTTTAAAGTTAGATACAAACTGATGTCCTGGAAAAGTAGGATAGCCTTATTGAGTCTTTGAGTCATGTTAGCAATCTGTATACACTGCCAATGTGCTTTCACTTGAAAATACTGTATTAGATAACTTTTCAAACATGTTGTGCTTGCTTTAAATTTATTCTGAAAAAACTGGTAAAAAACAAAAAACAAAAAACAAAAAAAGGCCAGCTTTTCATTATTAGCATTGACACTGTTGTGTGGGGGTGGTGTTTAAGTAAAGTCCATTTCTAGATTAAAAAATTATTAAATTTTAAGGTTCTGGATTAACATTGACATGTGTTTTGGGATGTTATTTAAAAAAAAAAAACCTTCTCCAACTTATTAGAAAGGGCCAGGTGAGCTTAAATTGACTAATACTGATCATCAGCAGATGTAAGTAAATCTTACCAAAATATACATATTTATACTATATTTATATAAAGTATAAATAAATATACTATATTTATTGTTACAGCTGTAATTCATTGCAAACAATCAAGGCACTGCCAAGAGGGTTAAAGACTCCAGAATAGCATATATTATGCTTCAGGAGCTGTAGTAAGCTAATTAAACCTAACCTTTTTCATTTTAAAGGTTAATTCACCTGTGCAGCATTAAGGATGCTCTCCGTATGTTTAATTAGGATCAGTAGTGGAAGCGTTATTCACAATACCAGCTGATAAGATGAAGAATGCTGTGCTCTAATAGCCCAATGGGAAGCTGAGGAGCACGGTGGAGGCTAGAAAATTAGGAGAGCTTTCATTCACTCTTTATTGTGAATTTTTCCTCGTTTAACAACAGAGCTTCTGCAAAAACTCACTGTTTCAACAACACATTTTCTTTTTCTGCAACCATGATTGTTTTACCTTCCAATAACAGTGGCCTTTTTTTGATGGAAGCATCTTTAGAAGAACAATATTTGTTTTTAAACATAATGCCCTTATTATAGTTCTTAGTTAAAACTTTTTACAACGAATCTCTGAACAAAACATTAAGTTTGCTTTAATGACCTATGGCTATAATACCCCAGCTGAGTCACATAAAGGTGTGAGATCATATCTGATTTTAGACAGGCCATCTGTTATTTTGTATAAAAATATTTTAAATGATAGACTGAGCTGTTTTTTAGATAGATTGACGTGGCAAACATAAACTCAAATAATTCTCCAAAGTTTTTTTGCTGTTTCTAAACAATGATTATTATATCTACTCAATTTGTCACTTTAATGGGCCTGAAATAACAGACAACACATAGTGTGAACTAGGGATGCACCGATTCACTTTTTTTTACCTCCGATACGATACAGATATTTGAAGTGTTATGTCGGCCGATACCGATACCAAAAACTGAAATTATTAGCAAAAAAATGGTTTTATTGTGTGAAAAAAAAAAAAAACTGGAATCATTCTTCTGTGCATATGATTTGACTTCCATTTTCTTAAAAAAAAAAATAGGCAACAATATAAATGTTATGACTCGTTTATTTAACAACTGTGCTCAAAATCCTGAACAGAAAGTTTTCTGACTTGGTCAACATGTAAAAAAAAAGTGTCATTATCACGTATCATCTCTGTGATTTTTTTGGCCTGTATACTGTTACATGGAAAAATGTCACTTCTTTCCTTCGCTTCCAAAGAAGTCAGCTGCTTCTCGCTGCTTCCTTTTTGTTTGCCGAGTCCGATAATCTCAGCATGTTCCTTGATGAAACTTCTGGAGGTGTTTCATTAAGTTGGTGGTGTTATAGTTAATATGACTGTGTTGTGTTATTGCGCTGCCGCATGACGGCAGAGCATAGCATAGAGTTAGAATCAATAGATCAGCCCCTATATTGAGCCAATTGTCACTGATACGATCTAGTTTTTTTTTCCTTATATCTGGACCGATACGGATAAAAAATATTGGATCGGTGCATCCCTAGTGGGAACTATTTAAGGTCACAGATAATTTCCCCATACTCTTCATGTCTTTACAGTGGCAGATGTTGGTATTGCAGACCTCCCCGCAGCTCTGGATCTGGTTGAACATAAACTATCTGAGTCAGAGCGCAAAAGGAGGCATGCAAAAACAGACGACTACAATATCGAGGTTCTGCTGGCTGTGGATGACTCTGTGATACGTTTCCACGGCAAGGAGCATGTGCAGAATTACGTCCTGACCCTAATGAACATTGTAAGTCTACTTTTACATATTAATGCTTTTTGGTCCTAAATACCTGCTGATTATGTGATTATTTTAACAATTTATAATATTGCCTGTTTTGGGTTGGTTATTGACATAAATTCCAATAAATCTTGTTGAGATTTTAGGTAATAATTTGATGAATATAGCTGGTAAGAAGGCTATCTTATAGGTGAAATGAAAAGGATATACAGTATATTGATAAGCTCAATCTTTTTATTTACGAGAAATAACACATTTTATGTTTGATTAGGACAAAAAAGATAAGAAGTAAACCAAACATTTTCTGGTTGTAAAGAATAATTCCAGGTATATGTGTTGTTTTTTTTTTATTGTCTTTTTTCAGCTCTAAACTGTGTGTTTTTGTCATTAAAAATTGCTGAGTGTGTTTATTTTAACATCAGGCTTTGCCTCTTTTTCCTTTGTCACTGATGGATTACCGATGACGGACTGGGCCTAAACGAGAAAATCTGAGAAACTCTCAGCTTGTTCATTATGGGTTCCACCAGCTCCTACCACCATAATCAGCTTACTGGACCTAAATCCCCCCAAGTCAGATTTTCACAGGGAGCTGGTTTCACTCTGTAACAGTTACCATTTGGACCATGCAGGGCAGTCTGATTAGCTGCATTAGAGCACTTAGAAAGTTGAGTGGGAGCAGTATGAAGCAGCCATGCAAAGTGGTGCCAAACGTTTGTATGAACTGCCAAACCCTCTTACATTGAATGATGTGTTTATTTAATTAGGAATTTATACTCAAAAACGGGATCCAAATGTTTTTAACAGAGCAAAATGTCTGACTTTTACTGAACTTGATTGTGCTAAGTAGTAGCTGTGACTCATGCAAACTCTATATCTGTCAGTCCTTAGTGTCTAATGCACTCTGATCACTTAATAGCATTGGAAAACACTACCTGGAGGAGTCCATTTAAAATAATCTGTTTGTTCAAAATTGACTGTGCTGCACCCTAAATGACATCAGGCAATTAAAAGTTTTGTGAATACATTCCCCTTCATATTGAACATTCTTGTTTAAACTTCGGAGTAGTTTCAGGTGGAGTTTAAACAATCAAGGGTAAAAAAGCTTGGGGTCTGCTGGTAAGCCACAGGCTAGCTGTGTCTGAAAGAGCTCTGCCTGTTCAAATCCCTCCGAATCCCTGCTCTGGGGCTGCAGAATGTCTAGTACCACCTGGAGAAACTCTCCCTGAGGGATTGATTACTGAACATCCTGTCTGCACAATGCCGAGGTGACTACCGAGGTCTCTGCCGCACAATGGTTGAGTTGTTTGACAACTGCAGGCCACTTTTTTGTCCATCTCAATGTAAAACCATTCACAAGCCAGGGACACCTAGTGCCTGTAGAGCACAGCTGCTAATCTCATTTTAACCATTGTCAGCTCCATTTTAGTCTTTCTTCGGTGTGTGTGTTGTGAGTGCTCCTCCTGGATTTGTAATTATCTCAATTGGCATGGGGTTAGCCAGTCCCTCAGCTGGACTAACTGAAAAGTCAAGAATGCAGTGACCCTAGTCTTTCAGTTGAAAGACAAACATCCACAGGTTTTTGCCAATTCTGTGATAAAACCTTTATGTTGCTATTTATTTTAAAGATACACTCTTTTTTCACCAGCTTCTGTACATGAACATAGGTCGGTATAGGCCTAGTGAGGATTTTTTGTTACATTCTACGCACATCTCATTGTAAGCAGGATATTTGCTTTAATAGACTAGGTTGCATCCCAGAGCATATTTGGATTTAGGACAATGTAGAGTTTTTTCTCAGATGGCAATGCTTTTTTTTCAAGCAGTTATATTGTTTATGCAAGGAGTAACTTATGGATGCTGAATAAGAGAAAATGTTCTACGCTTGCCATTTTGGTTGATTAATGTAGATTTTTGGTACATAGGAAATACAAACATATATTTTCATATGACTAGAGTTTGAATGTAGATAAATATTTATAGATATTGTAGGATGTAAAACTATTATATGCACTCATTTTCGTAAGATATGTAAAAATTTTAGCTTGTTCTACATAATATAAATTATTACAATTGAGTGACATTCTCACCTATTTTCTTTCACCTGTTTCTTTTGCCTTTTTTCCTTCATAATTTCCCAGAATCTAAGCAGTTAGTAATATATCTCTCACATTATTTTCCGTAGTCAAAATCTCTTCAAATTCTACATGCCACTCCTGCAAATTTATATGCACCTTGGTCTAAAACTGAAATGACAATTTAAAAAAATGCATAACTTATGATGCTTAAAGATAAGGATTCTCCTTTGTGTGCAAAGATAAAAACTCAAACTAAATCCTACAAGAATTTTAACAGAATTAGACAAAATTATGCAAACAATCAAACAAAAGCGCCTTTCAGTAGCAAGACATTAGAACGCACTGTACATAATAGGAGAAAGAACATTGCAAGAAAAAAATAATAAAGATTAAAAAACATTGAAAATAAAATTAAAGAAAGTTGGACTAAAGACTTGATCTAATTATGTTTAGATGGCACAGACAAAAGCCGCTCTAAACAGATACTTTCTTAATCTGGATTTAAAGCAACTCATGGTTTCAGTGCTTTTACAGTATTCTGTTTTTTTTTTTTTTTTTTTTTTTTTTTCCCAGATTAGTGGAGTATATGCGTTAAAAGCTTCGTCTCAATGTTTGGTTCTGGGTTAAAAGAATATATTTGAGCCAAAGGATCTGAGATGTCAGGGTGTTGATACAATGACAGCAGGTCTGTCATATATTTTGGTTCAAAGCCATTCAGGGATACATAGCCTAAGTCAAGTATTTTAAAGTGTTGATGACGTTTTATTGATTTTATGTAACTTTGAATTAAAATCATGCAGCAGGTCATACCAGGTGGTTCTGAGTTATTATGAATCAAATAAGCTGATTTTTAACACAAATATCCTACATTTAGTAGGACAGCAGCGCTCTGATTAACAGTTAGTGAAAACCCACTTCAGACAGAGAAGCCCTTTTGGAGCTAGCTCAGCATTCTATAATGAATGGAAACATTGATGGTTGTTTCAGGACATCTAGTCTGGAACTGTTTCTTTGTGATTTAACCCTCAGCCTGTCAAGCTCAGGTAGTGATGCTGAGGAACAAGGAAGCATCATACCTTGCAGATCAGAAACATCCAAAACAGACCTCTTGCCTACGGATACAGACTCTGAGCTGGGCGACTTTTAATAAAGGGAAAAAAATAAAAAAACATTTCCTTCTCAAAATGCATAAAAAAAAGACACCATGGAGTGCTTCAAAATTCCCATTGTCTTAGCTTTCTCTGGAGGGTGGATTTTTTTTCACTCCATTAGAGAAAGGATGAAGAACTCATCTATCTGGAAGATGCTCAGAGTAGAGCAGCTTCTCTTTCACATCCAGAGGAGTGGAAGTTTGTTGGACATTTATCTTGGATGGAGGTGTGTTCCAGGCACTTTCCACTAAGAAGAGACTCAGGGGAAGGCCCAGGACTTGCTGGAGCGACTATGTTTCTAAGCCAGCGCTTGAACACCTCAGGTTTCCTTAAGATGAGCTGAAGGCAACGTCTGGGAAGAGGGAAGTTGGGGGGTCCCTGTAAATACTGCTGCCTCCATGACCATGTCCAGAATAAGCGGAAGATAATGGGTACAAGGTCACTTTTAGGACAGCTTATTTGCTTTAATGTTCATGAAATCATTGGACTACACCTCAGGGCCCAATGACCCTAATTAACCACACAACCTTTTGCAGCCTGTGATATTGAAAAGCAGTGCATAGCAACAGCATGATGATTTAAGCATAGTGAGATAAAAGCTTTTATTTTTTTGCATTGCACTGAACACCTTTGGACAAAAGAAACTCATAATGGCAAAAATCTGAAATAAAAATGTAGGTCATTTTTAAAAGCAAGGAGATCCAGACCTGTCTACGACATAATTACACAAACCCATTGAACTCACTGCATTAAAATCCCTTCACTGACAACAGCCTATCTAATGATTTAAGCAGTGAATATAAGAAATCTAATGAAAAAGCATGTTTGCTCAAATAGATTTTATTTCAAACGATAAGTGATCTTCTCTAATGCATACGCTTTTGTCAGGGGAATGAGTTGTGTTTTAAAGGTATAAATAAAGAGGAAGCAGGATGCTAGTGGGCTCAATATTAAAAAAAAAGGTTGTCTGACCTTTTCCGCACTGGTGTAAAGGCTTTTTATTCATTATTAAGCTATGCATATCTTATTTTCTTTTAAGTCTTTGCACATACATTTTCTGAGAAGAAATAAATGATCCCAAATGGTTTAACAGATGTTCAACATCAAAGCTTTCACCCTCCATACTCTAGATTTGGCCATAGATGTTAGGAAAAGGAAAAAAAAAACTGTGCAAAAAGGGCGTGGCTTGTAAGCTAAGCTGTTTAATGACATAGTTTCATAGGGCAGAGTGATTTTTAGGAAGCTTTCCATATTTCTGATTCCATTTTCTGCATAAAGTTTTAGGTTATGTTAAGGTTAATGTGAAAATAACTGTATAAAATACATTTCAAAAGTATTTAGACTCCTTAGGTGTTTTACATTTTTGCCACATCTACAAAATTGTAATTTTTATGTGATAGATTAACACAACGGAAAAATGTAGACATAAAGGAATAACTTAAATAACATAAAGGAAAACAATAAAATCATAAAAAAACATGATCATATACAAATCTTACCTTGTATCGATATCTCTCTTATTGCACAATCATCCTTACACCTCTACAAAATAGATATATCACATGTTTTTAGTAAGACGTTAATAGCTTAGAAAATGTTTAGATAAATCTGTGTTTTATATCTATAATTTTTTATGTGCTTAAAGCAGCAGCTTGTGCTTAAATTAGCAGCTTGATTTAATTACACACTGTTTACTAATTTAGTAGACTCTCAAGATCTCAAGGCATGTCAAAAACCTAAGCATAATAATATGACTAGAAATCCGGGTGTATGGTTGGTTATAGCATTGTATTACATTTTCTACATTATGCTTCATTAAGAATGTTGCACCTAAATGTTGTTTTTATTTTAAACAATGGATATGTTTGCAGGAAATATGAATTCTATCTAATACAGTTGTAACAGCCTCTCTCATGATTCTGACTCAATAAAAATACCTGGAATAGAATGTATTTAGTGTGATAAAAACTGATTGATAACATGATTGTAAATTATCAAGTAAAAATAGCAACTAGAGGCTTTTTTTCTCTATAGATAGCAATTAAGCCTTTACAAAGCCACAAGAAACTATTTACAGGTTTATGGAAAGTTTATAAGGGTTTTTTACTTTTAGTTTCAATTTTGCATAATATTTTGAAGTCAAAAAGTCCTTTTAAAGATTTACTGTGAATATGTCTTCTTAAATTGTTAGCTCATAGATGATGAAATGCCCTTTGAAGAGGATGCAGTTGGAGTAAAAAAGTTATTTAATGGTTTTTCTAGTCATCTAGCCAGTGTGCCTGCTGTGATAACTTCTAATTTGAAAATTCTTCTAGACATAAATAGATATTTAAGCATTCTGACTTGGTGAGTTAAAAGAGAAGAATGTCTGGGCAGATGCTTTAAAGTGATTTATGTGTGTACTAAAGCCAAGTGTTGAATCCATCTCCATCAAGATGCAATTATTGTGTTCGCATTGGACTCCAAATGAAGGCTGACATGCAGCAGAAGTTGAACATAATTAATTATATGATGTGATGTGTGGCTTAGGATTTAAATGAGATCCTAGCATGCCCCACGGCTACATCTAGCATACCAACAATGTCAAGGTCCAGTTAATGCTTTTGGCTTGTTGTAAGTGGACTACAACTTAGGTTTCATCAGATTGTTTTTTAAATGGGACAATAAATAGCACAGTTGCACAGTTCTTGCAATATGCTTCAAAGGACTGTAGGGAAAGGTATTGTAATTTTAGGAGAAAGATGATTACATGTTGCAATATTGCATTATGTTGTGTTCTAAAAAGTATTTGCCGCCTTGTGGTTTTAATTCAGTTGTTGAACTTATTGCACATTTATAAGATTATAAAGTTATGTATAAAAAGTCAACTCAGTAAATACAGGGAGTTTAAAAATAGCTACCTTAAATAACCTTCACCTGTGAGAAATAATCTTTGCTCCTCTGTTAAAGCATGAATCAACCTTTAATAACCTCTTTTTTGTTCAGTTTTACTTTTTGGTCACATCAAGCATCAGGATTATTTCCCAAACTAATGAATCTTTTAATTTAATGAATAATTTAATTTAATCATCATCTCTCAAATAGAACAATATTTCAACAAAATTAAGGATAATTAATCTTATAAAACATCTTTATCTGTCAGATAAATGCACTCATTTATTTGTAAAGGGGTCTTAAAGCCATGGCAAAGCACATCTGCTGACAAAATATCTTGATAATCTAGAAGACTTGAAAAGTATTATGTAGACTTTATAAGACGTAATATTTCACTTTCCTGTGTGTCCTTGACAAGCCTGTTCATAAGGCAAGCTGTGTCCCTTAGACATGGTACAGAAAACTGACTCCTACAGAAAATAAAGTTGTCAAATTCAAAAGCAAAGCAATTTGATATATATTTTTTCTTCTTTCAATTTTTTTTTGTGTTGGATTGCCTTCAAACTTTAATTTTTCCCTTTTTCTAAAATAGTAGTTTTCTTTTCTGTAGAAAAGACAACTTTTAATTTCCTTCAAACTTTTCACAAAAAATGAAAACAATTGATCAAAACGAGCGTTGCTGAAATGTAATAAAAAACTGGACTTACAGTAAGCCCAACCTGGGATTAAAAAAAGGCTATTCAGAAAATACCTTCAATATCTAACGAAAAAAGTCAAGGGCCAAATGTCCTTCACAGTGATGCAAAGGACTGCTCTTCCTGATTTTTCCAGCTCTGGATGGTAGTTGGAAGT